ATATGGCTTGGGTCCACTGATATTTCTAGTTGATAATAATGAATCTTAACACCTGATGATTTATGGTCCATCAACTGACCACTTTACTGGTGAGCATTGAGTCGACAATTAATTATACAAGTATATAAGCTTATTAAGGGACATATAAGCTGATAGTTTGCAAAGCGATTAATCACTATTAATAAAAATTCATTCTCTGTCCGGTAATAAAAAAGTGAATACATTTCATAACCTTAATGTTCGTCACTTAATTGATGCTGTGGTGATTAAACAAGTGATATTGTCCAAGCTGTATGTTTTGTAAGTATAAAAGGAAGTTGAGGGTCTCGGATACTCCCCATCAACCACCAACATGGCAAATGCACAAATTCAAGTGACGTTTCTTGGTAACAAGTTTGGAAGACAGAACATCGCGTACAACGGATATATTTACTGTGTTATCAGAGGTGAGCGTGTATATTGGAGATGTATCATCCCCAAATGTCCAGCTACCCTTAGTACCCGAAACAACATCCCTACTGGAAACGGCCGCCATCCCACATCTACAGCAGCATCCGCGTCTTCCTGGAAATACAAGCCAGCAACGAGATAACGTGCATCCAACACGCAGCAGGAGGACTAACTCAGACCACGGAATTAGAATTAGGGTTATCTAAGTCCGTGCTCAGACCAAGAGCAAAACGCTACTGTAACTGTCTATACTGATTACATTTGTCATAAATTGCTTGCTAAATTTAGTTATATTTTATGAAATATATATATATAACATACATGTAAATGTATAATAAAAATGTATAAAATTGATTTAATATAAAATTAATAAAGGCTGGTTTTCAATTAATGTATTTTGATGTGTTTTTATTAAGTAATAACTGGAATCTTGTATATATTTATTCATAATTCCAGTATATATTACAAAAATCAGGATATATATTTTTTAAATATTCCTAACACAGTATTTCCTATTGGTGAACAGGTAAATACAGGTAAATAATCTACCTGTACGCCTGATTGCACACAGTAGTAATGGCGGTCACGGCTATGAAGGGACCCAAAAACTAGTGGTTCATCACTATAGTAGATATAACACAAGCTAAAGTTGTGTATCTGTTATCATTTTTACACAGCAGACAGAGAGGATAACACAGATTGTGACCGGGAGGCAACATGTTGAAAAGTCTTTGCCGTAAACGTCTGTTGACCGTGATTTCTAGATGTTCATCTGTTGGATTTACACTACAGAAAGGTGAAATTTTGTTTATTATTATAATAGTCAATTAATTTTATTTCACGTTATTATAAAGTCTATGTCTCTATGTAATCAAAAGTCTACTTCCATATCTGTATATGCTTTACGAGACTTCGGCAATAGTATTCAGAATCTCTCCACAAATTAAGTTTATAATGGGCTATCATAGAACACTGCCCCTTAACGACTTGTTAATTAAGATCATTCCACTGTGACACACTGTACCGGAAGTCTCATTAAATGACTGGACTTCTCTTCAAACACCGCGCATGCCTTACAGCTGTTCTCAGCTAGGCTTGCTCTCTACCCAGTCAGCCATGAGACTTTTCTACGAGTAGTGAAGTGCAAGAAAACAATACAAACGCTAAAGAAAAAAGTAGACGAATTCACTATTATGCATATATATATAATTTTTATTGTAGAATGGTCGAGGCGAGTGTACTATTTTTTGTCATATTTACTACCTCATTTTTGTATTTAAATGTTTAAGGTGTATTGAATGCATAATATTTGCTCTCAGTTACAAAAGAGTGTTTACCGAGTTTTGGTTGTATTTAATATCTTGTGGTTATTTCCCCGCTTCAGGGTAATATGTCATGGTACTCAAAAATGGTTGTTGTATTGCTCCGCATTTATATTTCCTGTCTGTTTTGTTATATTTTGATGGAGTAACCATTTTCAAATAGCAGTCAAACAGTCTTGATTGGTCAGAAAATAGATTCAGCTGATATTTTGTCGTATTACATTACTTAGGGTCCTAAGCAAGTCTAATGTTTACAGTTTAGGACATATGAGTTCATCTTAAAGTAGGTATTATACAAGGTAAATATAGTTGTTAAATCTTTTATCAACTCTACTAAGCCACACAGGATAGTACTGATCGTGACCTGGTGGTAAAATGTTGAAAAATCTTTTCCTTTACCTATTGTTGACACTGATTTCTAGATATTCATTTGTTGAATTTACACTACAGAAAAGACTTATTTTGTTCATAATAATAGTCAATATAACGTTATCTTAAACTCTATATCTCTTTTGAATGGATATCTACTTTCAGTTCTAATATACTACATGAGTGTTTAGCAGTAGTATTCGGGACCTTTCCACAACGAGCTCCCTCAAACATCTGTACATCATTGACTCAATGTACCCCGAGACTATTGCGAAAGTCTCACAGAGAGACTGGACCTCTGCACAACGACCGTCTGGGCCTCTTAGTGATTATCAGTGCTCTCTACCAGGTTTCTCCTTGGAACTTCTATTAAACAACAATAGTACAGGGAGCATTTGTTGGACATAACATAAACATCTACTGCAGAATGTTTGGTACATCAATGCACTTTTTGCAAGACTACGTTGTATTTTGGATAGACATCGCATACCACCAACTGGCGCTCAAACTGAATTCCAAACACTTACTTGAATTAAATTAAATAAGAAAATAGTTGGCTGTTTAAAAGTGCATTTAAATGTATCTGTACAGCCATTTAAATGTACCTGCGCAGCCACCTAAAACAGCTTTCTTTTTGTGTACCTATTATTACAGACAGTGTTATTGCCCACTGTACTTTTGTTTAAAAAAACTATATTTGGACAATTTTTATTATGCACTGAACTCTGTGTACTCCACAGGGCCTGCTGTTCCCCTGAACACCTTACCAACCTGTGTTTTCGGGCAACGTCTTAAGCGTTATCAGTCGTTTTCATCACGGGTACGTATCAGTTCTGGTCACTTGTTCTGTATTTGAATGCATTTGAAAATTTCACGAAAGAATCTCGAGGAATTACATATCAAGACTGTCTTTGAAATCTTTGTTGTAGAAAATTGTATCTGAAGCAGTTGCCGAAACTGTCAGTGCTGTCGACGACGGACGAAAAGTAGAAATTGTGTGGAATGATGGCAAATCGTCGAGGTATGTACATAACAGGTGACACAGTTGAGTAAAAAGCAGCCATTCTGGTTATATTTTTCACAATCTTCCCTACTTTCGGTGCCTTCATTAATGTTTTTCAGCTCGTTTCAGACAAACACATTTTAAATATTAAACACTGTCTCTAAAAACATTTGTACATATATTTCGTACATACATATATATTCGTTTTGTATATATACATAATTTTGAAAGCCAAAAGCGAACAACATATAATAAAATACATTGACACACATACATGGTATTATGCATTGGCAAACTTACATAACACATACATAATATTGCACATTAGCACACATACATAGAAATATAGGCATTGACACATAAATAATAGTATACAGTGACACACATACATAATATTGCACATTAGCACACATACATAGAAATATAGGCATTGACACATACATAATAGTATACAGTGGTACACATACATAATATTAAACAATGACAGACAAACATAATAGTATACATTGATATACATACATATTATTTATATTTTAAACACACATTATAATATACATTTGCACACATGCATAGTAGTATACATAGGCACATATACATAATAATAAACATTGACACACATAAAAAGTAGAATAAATTGACACATATACATAATAACATACAATAACACGCAAACCTATTAGTATACATTGACACATACATAATTGTATACTTAGGTACAAAAACATATCAGTGTACTATGATACACATGCATAATAACATACATTGGCATACATACATAAAAACATACATGGACATACATTCATACTAACATACATTGACATACATGCACAATAACATTCATTGACATACATACATAATAACATACAATGACATACATGCATAATAACATACATTGGCATACATATATAATAACATACATTGACATTCATACATAATAACATACATTGATATACATACATAATAACATACATTGACATACATACATAATAACATACATATATAATAACATACATTGACATACATACATAATAACATACTTGACATACATACATAATAACATACATTGACAACATACATAATAACATACATTGACATACATACATAATAACATACATTGACATACATATATAATAACATACATTGCCAAACATACATAATAACATACATTGACAGCATACATAATAACATACATTGACATACATCCATAATAACATACATTGACATACATACATAATAACATACATTAACATACATAATAACATACATTGACATACACACATACTAACATACATTGACAACATACATAATAACATACATTGACATACACACATAATAACATACATTGACATACATACATAATAACATACATTACCCACATGAAACACGTGCACATTAACTCAAATCAATACAAGTTAATTGTAACACGCACATCGACACATACAAGTTTGGGGCGGACAAGTTTGCTAACAATGATTCCTTGTTAGACCGGAAATATGTTAAACCTTACATACTTTGTTATGTGTAAGGTTGCCACTTGACCAACTTTATTTCAAATGTCTTGCAACACTTGATGAAAACGACGTCTCTGTAAATGAAAGAGAAATCGGCTTCGTTCTGTAATGAAGTTAATTCCGGGATAACTGAAATTACACATCACATCCTAGCTTTTCCATCTAGGATAAACAATGTTACTACGAAGCTTGGAGAGTTATGGAAAAGAGGTCAACGTTGTCATATTCACATCTTGATTATGACTATTTTTTGAGTCATGATAAGAATTTGTCAAGTGTTCGAGAATTGTTAAGCGTTCCTGCAAGTTTAGCAGTTAGTATATCACATGGATTATATTCCATCCCTCACTGGCTTGGTATCATATAAAATGAAAACTCTATCGTGAAACATGTTTGCTGTGATCACTGGTATATATTTTTTATCATTACAATTGTTATATATTATCAGATAGCGGGAAACACTAAGATCGCACCTCAATCTGACATGAATAACGATGAGAAACATAAAAAGGAGCAATAAATACAAAATTACAGTCGACTGTGGTTTTTTTTTTATAGAAGGTTGAACGTACCACATTAAGCTGCCGTTATAGGATTCACATACTAGTTTATGTGACAAAGTTGTGGAATACAATCCAAGTATTTCGGGAACTCTCCATGTTTTCTCCTTAATAATTAAATAATAAATAAAATATTCATGGCTAAATTTTGGATTTTATGTCTTTCCAGATTCCATGCAGTGTGGCTGAGACATCATTGTCCTTGTAAAGAATGTTATTCCAACGAAATCAGCCAGGTGTTAGTAGAAATAGATAAACTTCCACTTGACATCAAAGTAACAGATGTCACAGTAACAGGTAATATACAACGCTATCACGAAGTAACGGACCTCCCAGTATATTGACTTTGGTCGAAAACTTAAAACATCAAATAGATAAAAAAACAAAACTTTTGGCATTTTTAGTTATTTTTTCTCTCAAAGTTTCAAGAAATAATAATGATTAAGTAAGTTTTATTATGACCATGGTGACATGATGACACGATAACAAGCATAATTGAACACCCCCTTAAAATATTGACCATAAAAAACTTGAAATTAAAATACAACTGTATATGTAAGCAAGACTTGAATAATATGTATTCCCCTTCAAAAGTAACTAACTGGCTCATTCGTAGCTCTCGGCATTGTGTTATGTCTTGTTTTATAACTGATCAAATTATTTCAGAAAATGGTGGAGTACGGATTCGATGGGATGATAGCAATCACACTGGAGAGTTTAGCTCAGCCTTCCTGAAGAAACATTGTTACTCACAAAACAGTTTAAAACAGAAGAAAGATTCAATGAAGACGTCATTATATGCAGAGGTACATTTTACTGACAATTTTTACTTGACTCCCCCGGGCTAGGCTACCTTAACTCTGTCTGCATTTCTCTCGCTGACACAAAACTCATCAGACTCATTTACACAGATGTGAGATTAATACTGTCAGTGTCTAATTAAGAAACTTCTATAGCAATTATGATATTCTATTCATTTCTGTAATATCAATGGAATATACAAGTGGAGATACACTGAATTTTTAACTAATTGATTTACAGAAATTCTGTTCAAATTGTGAAGGATCTTCCTGAAGTACGTGAAAAATCACCAGATTATTTTCCCCTTGAAACGAAAAATAATAGGAACGGTAAAGTTGTAAAGTTATTCGTTTTTCATTATTCGAATAACGAATATCTTTCTAACTTTACTTTCCGGGGGGCGAAAGTAAAGTTAGAAAGTTGTTAGTTTTTCAAAAAGAAAAAGAAAATAGAAAGTAAAACGGATGCCGGTGCTTACGTTTTGAAATGTTGTGCGTAAAGGGGGTGCCACATAGAGAATTCACATCGAGTTTGATTAGGATTGAAAAGGGCATTCACTCCGGGCCAGACCAGGAACATAGAATTGGAAAGAAATCTCGTTTGTTTTTGACAAATCTCGAGTAAAGGGTCCCAAGGGGTCTAGAAACCGTACCGGTGCCCAACTTTTGAAAGATTGTGCGAACAAGGGGGTGTCATAGAGAGTATTCACATCAAGTTTGATTAAGATTAAAATAGGCATTCACCCTGAGCCAGGACCAGGAACATAGAATTTGAACGAAATCTGATTTTTGACAATTCTCGAGTATAGGGTCCTAGGGGTCTAAAAACCGTGACGGTGCCAAATATTTGAATAATTGGGTGTACAGGGGGTGTCACAGAGAGTATTCACACCGAGTTTGATTAAGATGGACAAGGAACACAGAATTTGAACGAAATCTTATTTTTGACAATTCTCGAGTATAGGGTCCCAGAGGTCTAGAAACCGTGCCAAACTGTTGAAAGATTTTGCGTACAGAGGGTGCCACAGAGAGTATTCACATCGAATTTGATAAGGATTGATATAGGCATTCACCCCGAGCCAGGACCAGGAACATAGAATTTGAACGAAATTTGGCACCGGCACGGTTTCTTGACCTCCTAGGTCCTACTCGATAATTGTCAAAAATGTGATTTCGTTCAAATTCTTTGTACCTGGTCCTGGCTAGGGATGAATACCTATTTCTATCTTGATTATACTCGTTGTGAATACTCTCTGTGTCACCCCCTGTACGTGCAACCTTTCAAAAGTGGGGCACTGGCATCCTGTTTTTTCTGTTTAATTTTGAATAACGAATAACTTTCTAACTTTACTTTAAACCCCCGGAAAGTAAAATTAGAAAGATAATCGTTATTCTGAATAATGAATAACGAATAACTGTGCAACTTCACCTTGCTAAAATGCAATTTTTAAAAAAATACTTTGTAATTAGTTTTTGCGATAATGCGAAATCCTAATATGCTTTCATATAGTAAATTACTACGGAATATGTACTTTCGCAAAAGATGAACCGTCTCCTTTATGTTCAATAAAAAAAAAACATTTGCTATATGTTCTATAGCCTTAAGATTTATCATTCATCTTCTTAAATGAATTTAACTCACAACTAGAGATTTGAGACTCATCGTTTTCTAAATACGTTTAAATAAGGTTAAATTAATCGCGCTGTGTCATTTGCTGGATTTCAAATATACTCATCACAAAAAATATACCCGAAAAATGCTTTTGGTGGTTTAAAAAACCTCTGTCGTTATTAAGGGTTTACGGCTGGAATGTGCAATTGAGGACCGTTCCATAAGTTTTATAAACCAAACCTACCAATGTTATGGTGACGTTACATTAACAACGCTATATGTCCATGTTCTCACACAAATTTGCGTTTAATCTAGTCTGTCTTGCCGAGTGTCACGTATGCTGACTGCGAGGCAGATGAAAAACACGTATATAGGTAAGTACTTCAACTATAAAGTATATACTTGTTTTTATCAGGTTGGTATGACTATAACTTTCTCAAAAACTGATCGTGACAGTCATATACGCATACATTAGCCTATTATTATGTAACTGTCGTACTGTCGATGATATGATAGATACACTAACTAGTTAATTCGAGGGTGGTATATATTGGGATGATCTGTTGAGTATATTTGTGGTAATGGTACTTTATTCATTCGTCAATGGTGTAGTAGATGTTACGATTTGGGTTCATTTAATATCATGATGATAGGTTTTAAGTGATAATTTGACACGTTCTCAACTCGCAGACTCTATGCAATATGGATATTCTGAATTGCAAACGACGAAAAATAAAAATGCCTTGAAATTCACTGTAATAAAATATGTTAGTATGAGAGAAGAAGCAATTACGGCCACTAATTTGTTCAGTTTAGTTGTTCCAAAGTAACTTCAACAACGATAATTGAGGATAGCTGATTCTCGTCTCTTTGGGGCGAGAATACGACACAACGAAACTGTACAAATCAGCAACCAATTTAACACATTTTTAGATTTGTTAATCTAAAAAGAAACATTCGCGCGTGCAGATATTTTCTCGCTAATTTCCTCGAAGCAAAAAACGGTTACATGTCACACCGCGAATATATTTCACTCGTAACGTATTTGAACGATGAGGCGCCTTTCGGTGACCTGCGAGATGTAATGTCTTTTTCTTTAACGATCTTTTTCAGATGGTTAAAATATATAAATGAGCATGGCCTGGCAATGATTAAAGAGGCTCCAGCAACAAGGCATCTGTTGGCAGAGGTACATGTAACATGCAAAGAACGAAGTATAACATGTTCTACCAATGTAAAATTCTATTCTTGCCATTATTTTTCATTTATGATTTACAATTTTTATTTTCATTCCCGATGTTATAAGATAAGAAGATAATACAGGGTAAAGGACAAATGTATCCCTACGTAATTGCCACATGATGTAATTATATAGTTTTAGGATACCCACCTGCATTTTACTTATCATATGCTGCCCTAATTTAACCGGTTATCAGTTGAAACTACCGTTTTATTCTCAGTTTGGATGATTATTTTTTTCAGCCTTTAAGGACACTACTTTTTGTATCTATGAATTTTCTGCCTTTATTTTTGTCTCGTTCTTCTTTTCTCTCAACACCTAAGCTCGTTATTGCATTTTGACCATTTTCCTTTTATGATCTATTGTAGATTGACTTTTTAAGATATAATGAACGTGAGTTCGTTCGTCTCATCAAATGTCTTTGCCCAAACCATACCTTCTAATCAGCTCAATTTGCCTTAACGAAAAACTTATTTTTGAGTTGTAGTTCATCCCAAAACACGTGGCGCCTTTGTTTGATAATACATATGGAAAGGTATGGACATTTTAAAAGCTATTGCCATCCACTGATAATAAAACAATATTTGAAAAATGACTATATATATATATATATATATATGAATAACGATTAACATAATCAAATTGATAGATTGATATCATAAACTTGACGGAAGAAACCAGGAACCACATGTGGTCCAGATAAACACATTTAATTTCACATCCGGTTTGTTGTGGGTATTTATAATGTCTATTTGTTTTGTTGTGTTTTTCCTGTGTTATCTTTTCGTAAGACATTTTGACGATGGGATTTTCTTTTGATAAAGCCGCATACGCATAACATAAGATCAGATTTGGCGTAGTTTAAGTTTCATCGAAATATATTTTTTAATTAATATTTTCCAAATTAATAAATAAATGGAACAAAAATAAATAAACAAAAATAAAAAAATTCAATAAAAATGAATAAATAAAAATGAATAAATAAAACACATAAATAAACAAATATATACATGAAAAAATAATAACATGCCTCTTTTTACCTTATTCAAAAACAAATGATTATAGAAAAAAAGGGACTTGTGTTGCTAATTTTCGTTTCAAGGTTCAGGACGTGCTTGTCCTGGAAAAACCGACTAACCTGGCGTACACGCAGGATAAAATACAATTCCATATGGATTTAGTATACTACGAATCAGTGCCCGGAATTCAGGTTCTTCATGGCCTTAGGTATGTGTTGCAATTTTTACTTATTCTGGTGTGACTTTTGCAAAAAGTCGGCATGTCTTTCAAATTCTGTATATTGTACTGTAGCTCAGTAAGAGCACAACATCATAAAATCAACTGAAGGCTTAAAATTTTATTTGAATTAGTTGACGTATCATGGTATTATTCGTCATAAGTATTCAACTTAAACTCAACTAAATTGTATAGTGTTAAATGCTTGAAATTTTCTTTTTTTATTGCAGTTTTGACGATTGTATCATAGGTGGAGAAACATTATTTGTTGACATGTTCGCAGTTTGTGAAGAATTCAGACAAACAAATCCAGTCGAGTTTAAGACTCTTTGTACCGTCCCGTGTACATTTTCCAGGGAACATATGTCAAGGTAGGGTACTAGTTGCGCCTGGAGTTTTAACATAGAAGTGTTTCAATTAGAATGTTTATTTAATGCAATACTTATATTTACCTTTGTTGAGAATTATAAACTTAGCATCATGATAGAGAAGTTTGCTATTTTTATCGTGCAAAAATAACATTAGTTTTGTTAATGTGGTCATGTAATATCAAACATAACAAACGGACGTCGATGGCACATGATCATGACAACGAAGTCACAACATGGATTTATGAAACTATTAGCATGTTGATTGTCAACTCATGATTATTGTGCGGGAACTCAATGTCGTTGGAGTAATTCCAGATCAGCTGATTTTGAGCATACTAAGAAATAAAGAGACACAAAAAACAAGGAAAGACATTATGATTCGTATATAAAAGCAATGATTAAAGGTAAATCTGTAACAAGTGCTCTAGAAAGATAATGGTTATGTATTTGATGTAAGTAAAATAAAAGCCACAAAACCAGAGACATCATTTATAAATGTTGTTTTGTTGCTTTCGATGATGTAAAAAGCAAGTACGACTTAATTTTAAATGTATTGTCATCTATTCGCAGGGCCATCCCCATCCACCTGCTGATACAAAGACCAGTCATTTCTCTGAACAACGAGAATGAGGTTTAGATACGAGTCAATATAAAACTGACAAATTTGTAATACGACATTAATTCTAAAAAGAAAACTACTATTTTAAAACATTGTGATTTAACATGACCATTTATTTGTAGGCTCACATGAAATACTTTTGAAGGGTAAATGTTGTTTGCACCAAATATTATTAAGTAACGTTATACAGGTTTGTAGACGAATTTTCCTCTTTTCGACGTATTCTATCTTTATTTAACGAAACACTTTGGACTTCGATTCTTGATTCTTTTGACGTAGAGTATCTCTGATAAAGTGACGAATGGGTATATGATACAGTATAATGTTGGCTTCAACTCTCTGTATCTGATAAAGTGACGAATGGGTATATGATACAGTTTAATGTTGGCTTCAACTCTGTATCTGCTAGAGTGACGAATGGGTATATGATACAGTATAATGTTTGCTTCAAATCTCTGTATCTGATAAAGTTACGAATGGGTATTTTTACTTATTCTGGCGTGACTTTTGCAAATAGCCGGTATGTCTTTCAAATTCTGTCTATTGTACTGTAGCTATTGTCTATTGTAGTATATTGTTTGCTTCAACTTTCTGTATCTGATAAAGTGACGAATGGGTATTTGATACAGTATAATGTTGACTTCAACTCTCTGTATCTGATAATGTGACGAATGGGTATATGATACAGTATAATGTTTGCTTCAAATCTCTGTATCTGATAATGTGACGAATGGGTATATGATACAGTATAATGTTTGCTTCAAATCTCTGTATCTGATAAAGTTACGAATGGGTATTTTTACTTATTCTGGTGTGACTTTTGCAAATAGCCGGTATGTCTTTCAAATTCTGTCTATTGTACTGTAGCTATTGTCTATTGTAGTATATTGTTTTCTTCAACTTTTTGTATCTGATAAAGTGACAAATGGGGATATGTTCAGTATAATGCTGGCTTCAACTCTCTGGATCTGATAAAGTGACGAATGGGTATGTTTTCTTATTCTGGTGTGACTTTTGGAAATAGCCGGTATGTCTTTCAAATTCTGTCTTTTGTACTGTAGCTATTGTCTATTTTAGTATATTGTTTACTTCAACTTTTTGTATCTGATAAAGTGACTAATGGGTATATGATACAGTACAATGTTTGCTTCATCTCTCTGTATCTGATAAGGTGACGAATGGGTATATGGTACAGTTTAATGTTGGCTTCACCTCTGTATCTGATAAAGTTACGAATGGGGATTTTTACTTATTCTGGCGTGACTTTTGCAAATAGCCGGTATGTCTTTCAAATTCTGTCCATTGTACTGTAGCTATTGGCTATTGTAGTATATTGTTTTCTTCAACTTTTTGTATCTGATAAAGTGACGAATGGGTATTTCATACAGTATAATGTTGACTTCAACTCTCTGTTTCTGATGAAGTGACGAATGGGTATTTCATACAGTATAATGTTGACCTCACCTCTCTGTATCTGATAATGTGTCGAATGGGTATATGATACAGTTTAATTTTGGCTTCAACTCTCTGTATCTGATGAAGTGACGAATGGGTATATTTACTTATTCTGGTGTGACTTTTGGAAATAGCCGGTATGTCTTTCAAATTGTGTCTATTGTACTGTAGGTATTGTCTATTGTAGTATATTGTTTTCTTCAACTTTTTGTATCTGATAAAGTGACGAATGGGTCTATGATACAGTATAATGTTGGCTTCAACTTTCTGAATCTGATAAAGTGACGAATGGGTATTTCATACAGTATAATGTTGACTTCAACTCTCTGTTTCTGATGAAGTGACGAATGGGTATGTTTTCTTATTCTGGTGTGACTCTTGCAAATAGCCGGCATGTCTTTCAAGTTGTGTCTATTGTACTGTAGCTATTGTCTATTGTAGTATATTGTTTACTTCAACTTTTTGTATCTGATAAAGTGACAAATGGGTATATGTTCAGTATAATGTTGGCTTCAACTCTCTGGATCTGATAAAGTGACGAATGGGTATATGATACAGTATAATGTTTGCTTCAACCTTCTGTATCTGCAAACAAGATTTTCTGTTAGGTGCTTCCTTTTTTGTATCCATAGTGATAAGCGTACGCAATAAAGTAGATACCTGTGTTGCTGGACTATCAGTCCCGAGGTAGGCCGTAGCCTTGTAGCTGGGATTTATCATTCTCTATGACGGAAATTGCTGACGGATCCCGAATGGTAACGATAAAGTCAAACCTGACCTGTAAGGGCTCACCTGCATTAAGAGACTATTTTTTTCGGAATTCCCTAGAGTGGTCAAGTCTAACCGTTTGACTAGGGATATGATGTACATAACGTTGGTTCATACTGGCGTAATAATTCAATGAATGTTGAGATGGTACCTTCAGCCTGTATATAACGTGTCAACTTCCGGTTTTAACATTTGTCGTGTTTCAAAATGTCACAATATTATACAAGGATCCTCTTGATTTCACTAAGGTCACTTATGGAAAGAGTAGCTTTGGTGCAACTATACGAAATATTAGCTGAAATTCATTTTATTCATTTTTTAAGAAATGAAACTGACAGGAAAGCTGAAAGTAGAAACAGAATTTTCGTCTAAATAATTCAATGCGATTGTCTTAAAAATGCAAATGTAATTCATTGCTTTTTTCACATACATTTATTTATAACATATTTTCTAAAAATAAAGATAAAAATAATGTATTATTTCTATATGACTAATTAATATCTCTCCTGTAGATAATCGGAGTGTTCTGGAACCCTGGTGTAGTTGGTGTATTGGAGATACCAGAGGCGAGTTTTATTTGTTTGGCTAATACCCAAATGAAAGAAAGTCTTATACTTTAAACAAACTAAAAACTTGAGGATAGCAATGCCAGTATTGTCTACGGATATCTTTTTTCCATAGAGAAGAAGTATTTCATCGCTTGGCTATTTTGAGAGTTTAGCTCCTTTCCGGTAATCTTATTTATAATTTACTATGCTTTTTTGAATAAGAAAAAACTAATTGTACAAAGTTGCACTTATAAGTAGTAAATGATCATGCTTTTTAATACTATTGTGAGAGCAATTTGTTCAATTAACATTAAATATATATATAAATATACATTTAATATGTATCAACATCTTGTCCCACAGCATCACGTGACCGATTACTACAGGGCATACCAGTTGTTCGCAAGAGCAGTATCCAACTTTCACACAAAAGTAAGTGTTTTTGTATTAAGAACAAATTACATTTAAAACAAGAGGCCGATGCGGCTAACACTACTTCTAGCTCTAGTATCGCTGGTTATGTTCACCAGATCTGAATGGAGAAATGTCGTGCAAATGTGAATGTTAGTGACAGCAGGTACGCTGACAGTATCTATTCATTTTGACCAGGCTGCAGAGGTCAAGTTAATTAATGAGCATACTATAAAACAATGTATGGCCTACAATTTAGGTTTAGTCTTGTCTAGCCTCATTGGACCGGTCCCAAATTTTGGTTTGGTTTGGTCTGGTCTCATTGGTCCGGTCCAAAATTTCGGTTTTGTCATTTCCGCTTTCAGGGATCAGAGACCAGATAATCATTTCTATTTAGTCTTTTTGTTACATCATTGGCTATGGAATCGAGGTTTTGTCCTGTTTCCTTAAAACGGGAGATTCGCTTCATGTTCTGTGCTAAAATACTTACTGCGTTCCAACATATAGGCATAGAATGAACGAATGCTTCACCGGAATTAACCGACCATAATTCCCATATCACAACTTGTTTTCAGAGTATGAAGTCTCTGCCGAGAAGGAATAAAAAGCAATATTTGCAAGAAAAACTAGTTGTGTACATTTTTTAAGTTATCGTCATTTTATTGAAAAAAAATGAGAGATCACAAAGGAATATCAGATGAAGTGTAAATTAAAAAAAAAACACATAAATGGAAACTGCATTTTTCTGGTTGATTCATTAATATCTTTCAGCATGAAATTCGCCTCCAGCCTGGAGAAATCATTGCTTTCAACAACAGAAGAATGGCACACAGCCGGAGAGCGTTTACTTGCAGAGGTGGTGAGCGACACTTTCAGGTAAAAAAAAATTCATGCATTTTTTATTATATGTTCAGTAACGTGTATTCATTGGGAATCACTTTGAGGTTTATAACGTTTTTTTCAATGTAATTATCGACTGTACATTCAAAATACACATGACTAGTTCAGACCTCCTGATGTTGATAACTGCGAAGGATTACAAACTGTTTATAATGTTATGACGCTTTGATTTTAGTTGACGAAAACAAATAATTGTTTTTATTTGGTTTCTTTGTTATGTTTCAGGGGTGCTTTGTTAACATATGTGAATACAAAAGCCGTCTTGTCAGTCTGACAAGGAAGTACGGTGATGTATCAACCATCAAACGTGTCGGTAACATGGATTGGATGTAGAAGTTGATCTTACTTTGCACATGGGGCTATCCTTTTCTATTTGAGAACATCCACATATGTTGTTTTCAACTCAAGTTTATGAAAAAAAAGTCGTCATCAGCTTTAACAAGGATCTTTGATACGTGATACGATTACCATATATATATATTTTTTTTACCGAAAAAATAATGAAATAAAACCAGAAAAATACTTGTACATTCCAATGTCGGCAATTGCGTAGTAATCATTTTTGCTAAAACATATATTTTCCCTCTATATCTGATTATTGTAGTCCAATATTTGACACATTATGTTTAATTATATTTAATGTCAATAATGTAACATGATAGATACAAAACAAAATTCTGTACATTGAATTATAAAGCAATTTCAATCTATCTGAATTTGTTTTTCAGTTCTTCAAATTGAAACAATATGATTTTACATTTTTATCCTATTTTACACAGCTCGGAAGAAGCGTCCGGAAAGTCTTATTCAAATAAAATTTAAAAACATTCAGTCAATCTATCTGAATTTGTTTTTCAGTTCTTCAAATTGAAACAATATGATTTTACATTTTTATCCTATTTTACACAGCTCGAAAGAAGCGTCCGGAAAGTCTAATTCAAATAAAATTTAAAAACATTCACACCAACTAAAGACTCATCCTCACGTTATTCTTATTGCATCCCATTGATATCGACTTTCGCACGTGGTGTTTCGTTAATAATGTCAAAACTGAGAAAGAAAATAAACTGCATGAGATTGTTTAAAAACTGTTTGTTCTTCTTAAAGTTATCGCCATTTAATAAGNCCCCCCCCCCATAATATAACGTATTCAATTGATGTAACATCAACTGATATTTGAGTCTCCTTTTTTCGAAATCACTTCGAGATTAACGTGTTTATTATGTAGCAATATCTGGCATAAACAAGGTTATACAGTCAAGTCAAACTTAACAGCCAGCATGAACCACCGGCAAAATCATGTTTCGTTTCAACCTGGCAAAGCTTCTTTCAGAAGAAATACAATAGGGAATGATAACATAGAAATACTTGGTATTAATTGATCCTTTGTGTGTCAATTTGTTGTAATAAAGTATTTCAAATTGCATGGATATAAATAAATTAACGAATGAACTGTCAACCAGTAGTCTAGCGGTCATGTACTGTGTTTACTGCCATTTAAGTTAAGGGTACCACTGTTAAGGCTAAAATTACAAAGGAGAGTTCCACTACCATTAACATTATATGTGTACTGAGCAATAACTATTTCTGGATAACAGTGATGAGATATGTGATCGGCAGACGATACAGGTTCGCACACTTTCTAACATTTTATTGTTTTGATTACTCAAAATATGAACAACTGTAATTTTTTGAAATGTATCGATATTTTTGATTTATTGAGAAAACATTTGTTGAAAATGACTTCAATAATATCATTATAGAGAAATCGGCAGATACAAAAGTATATTAACTTGATGGTATTAATATAAGTCAAAAGGAAACATATATATTGATATCTCATTTTTTTATTACATATCTGGTGAACCTTTATTAAGTGATACAATCTTGTTGTTAATGTTAGTGGAATATCAGTTTGAAGTGCGACCCGGGCGCGGGTCGCATATTTCCCGCATATTATAGAGGGCCGGAGTTCTGACGTTAATCGACGACAGAACGATATGAAAAAAGTCGATAAAACGTCAGAATAATTCGGACTACATTCTGCCATTCTGTCATCGACGTCATTTGTCCACAATTGCTATTCAGATCAAGTTTCCGGAAAGCATAGACATCTCATTAAGAGATAATTGTAAGCAATGTTTTGAAGATAATTAAAAAAAAAACTTGACACGTTTAACACGTACATGGTTTTTGTGTAAAGAATTATTACTGCACAGATTTGTTCATCTGACAACCCAGAATGCACCTGTTCATCGGCGAAGGGAAGTAATTTGCAAAAGGAGACGTCATACATGTCGTATCATCTGCATGTACATATAAAAGATTTATAAGAAAACATAAACAGACCGATACCTGGTACACAATGAGAAGTGTAAACAATATTTAACTAACCTGTAACAAACAAGACACGTAGGACAGATACTGTTTACGTGTGCAAAACAAGTTATCGTGATACAAAATTAAATTCTCTATATAAAATATCTCTCTTTTATACAATTGTGAAATAAGTTTTTACTTATATTAATATCATTTGGCCAGGTGGAAGCGTTCTGGGGGTCTTCATGTTGGAGGAAACCAGACTATCCTGAGAAAACTCAAGTGGCGTGGTGGGATAGGTGACTTTATGCTTTTCACGTCCGATAGGAGACAAACGCCAACCGTCTTGGTGAAAGACGATTTCGCTATCTTTGATTGTCTTTTGTGATAACATAGTCGATACTTATATGTTCACTGTTCATTAATTGCATGGTGTTTGCTTTTGATTTGCATTAAAACATAATTATGCATGACGATACTTCTTTGATAAGTATCACACCACCTATAGTGGAGGAGGTCTAACGAGACCCCTTTACCTGTGAGTTTTCGAGCTTAAGCGAGTTTCATGAATTTCATATATAATGGAATTTATTAGTTACTCAAACATAACGCGCTCAATAAAACATTTTGCTATTATAAAAACAGGAAAAAGAAAAGGTAAAAATCACGAGTTTTACCATTGTTGTAAATGTGTGACGTCATCGTAAGGGGGATTTTAAGATAGGCTACACATTAACAACAGCAGTGTTAAAGTACCACTATAAGAAAATACACATTCCAACAAATCTCCCTATATGATATGCTATAATTTTTATACCTGATTATGATATAAAATGACTAGAAAATTACCAGGCTTATTGAACCTTCAACCAAAAGTATAAATACTCGTGTATGACGACATCCCCACGTCCCCCATCTCTACCTACGCACTCCTTCTTACAAGGTGGCTTAGTTCGTGGTTCTTTTTTAGCGAATTAATAGGTACTCATTTCTTTACTGAGAATTTAATTCAAAAAGGAATTTCATAGTATCAAATGATCAGTTCTAGATATCTCAATACACGGAGAATTCCTTTAACCTTTTAATTAATAAAGGTGACACAGCTATCGGTGCGTAGCATTATAGTCAATACGAAACATGTATTGTGTATTGTGTGCATATCTTAATACAGCTATTGTTTTAACATATGAGGTGACGTTTGTGACACAAGGAAAAGGTCGTCTCTAGCTGTTTGGTGAAACAAGTTAATATGTAAACAATGTGTGCGTGTTCTGTTATCAGGTATAACAAAACTTAAAGCGTTATTGAGGTAATACAAATTGTACCCGGATGTTCATACTACAGGCGTCATTGGAGTTAGTTGTGTTATAGCAAAGTAGACATGTAGGTTATAGATTCAAGTATGGCTTCCGAAAGCAGTACCCGACCACATCTACAGCCTAACGTGGAACCGGGATTCTACTGTCGAATAGCTAAGCTTCTTCCGTCTGTGTGGACACACAGGCTATGCTAGTTGTTTGTCCATGTTGTTGGAGACGTCGGCGCATTACTACGGGATCGACAGATTGTAAGGAAGTTAAAAGCAGCCAAGTATGTTTCTCAAGATGACAGGAAAAAACTATTTCCTTCGGGAGCTGAAGCTGACGTTAGGGAATTTGATATCACATTATTATCAGCCCTGCTTTTCAACGTTCGCAATTTATCAGATGGGCATAAGAATTATATCAGAGATATACACATAAATTATCTGTGTCATTCCCATGATGCCTGTATCACAAAGGCTGATTTTGACACAAAATGGAAAAAAGTTGCCGAAACATTATGTAACATCGCCCTGCTTTGTATTTCTGCTTTCCAAGACGGAATAAAAAGGAAGTTGCAGATTTAAAGAGCGCTCCAATAGATGTGAGCAGTGAGCAACATCACTTCCAGTTTTCACTAGAACACTGTGTGATTGATAGAGAGTTTCAACATGAAATCCGAACCAAACAAACGGAAGAAAACAGAATGTATCTTCAACAGATAATCAACCACCTTAGTTCAGCGTCTGGAGTCAAGTCATCTTATACAAATGCTCATTGAGTTAAACGATGCGATGGGGAACAATGTCCGAAGTAGCGAGGATAAACTTGCAATATGTTCTTCACTGAACGAAGACATGACTAGCATGTCATCATCACACAAAGGTGAGCGCCGTATGATATCGATGATTCATCATTCTTTAGGCATTTAAACCGCGTGATTAAACATCGGGATTAAACATCGTGATGTACTCATTACTTACACGTGGCAAGAATTAACAAGCATGGCATTGTCAGCTGTATATAGTCTATTTGAAAGATGTGTCGTTGATTGGACTTTAAATACCATGCACCACGAAACATTATTCTTAGCGTATTAATACAACACCGATCGGAACTAAAATATCCAATGTTAATAAACATGACAGCTGCTGAAATATCGTTGGGCATTGTGAGACTTGAAAATGTAATTGTTAATGTGTAAAAACAAAAAATATCAAAAAAAATACAAAATGAAAAAACCCCACCAAGGTCTGCAATATTGTACAAAATGCACATCGGTTAAAATAACCAAGGGAAACAATTTTAACACTCATGCAATTTATCAGAAATGTCTTATGTTACTGCACTGATCCACAAGGGTTCGTTACAAATGTCTACTGATATGAGTTACAGCACACGTAAACATACACAAGGCATATGTATATTATTTTAGACATTTGTAACGAACCCCTGCGCTCTGTCGCAAGATGTATGTGTGTATGTTTGCATGTATGTATGTAACATCGATATGCGCTGTGATTCTGTTTAATTGGAAGACAAAAGCTTAAAAAACCTTCCCAAAAGGCAGATGAAAAGAAGGAACCTGAGGGGAGACAACAGAACATGGACCACACAATGACGATCAACAGCTCGAATGTAAGTTTGAAATGATTTTGTAAAAAAACCCATAAATTATCAATAAATGAAATTTTGACAACCGAAGGAGCCGAAACAGGTTGTAATATGTGTTTATTGGCGGTTCATATGATTTTGGCTTGGACATGATCAGGTTGATCGCCAAACAGAATGAATGAAAATTACTAAGAGCGGCCGTTTCAGCAAAAATAATATAATGGCAAAAACCTTCTCATTTTAGTGCAAATTTGTCTGTATGTAGTAATCTGTTTACGTAATATACCTTAAAAATCATGTTCTAATGCTTTTTTTTTTTAAATCTTAAAAATTATTTAAGATTTCTTCATGTCCCTCTCGTCAAATGGTACATTGCGCATTCCCCGGATGTAATTTCTAATTCCAATATGGCGGCAGAGGTTAAGGTGATACCTTAGGCTTTTTTGCCTATGTTACTACGATTATCATGGGAATTGTCACCCAGGAAATCTTAACAGACGTCAAAAGGCAAACTTGGTGCGTCCATGGTCCACGATATATATGTGATGGATGTCAGCGTATTTATTGGTAAACTACACAATCTCACGAGGACCACGCTGACGGAGTTAGTCTGAATCTTGCGTCATACGAAGATAAATGATGTCACTTTACCGGGGTATTAGCAACAATTGGTTACTACCATTATGGCAACTTGTGTTGCTCTTTTTGTGGACGAAAAAACTGCGATAACGAAGCTTTAGACGACGAGACACGTATTATGATGTGCGGGACAGAGAAGGCCAGCCAGGATTTAAGTACTCCGGAAAAAGCGCAGTTCGACTGTTACATGTATAAAATTGTAAGTTGTAAATAAACTTGACGAACCAGCAAATGCAATGCCGTCCCTAAAATTCATTCCAATGCCGAACAGTCTGAACAGAGAGCAAATCAGTCTTTATAAGGTCGAGTTTAATATGCTAGTTAGTTTTTTCCCACTTAAGTGTTATTTAAAGGTCATATTTGCACTTCCACGCATACATTTTTTACTTCAGGGTTTTCACTTAAGTATGAAAAAGGCCTTTTTTTATAATTTAAAGCACAAACAAAGTGTAAGTCTCTTTTCATTTATGTATTCAAAAAATTGATTGTGCACTTAAGTACATCATTTTTTATTTTCTAAATGTTAAAAGTCATATTTTCACTTAGTGCAAAAAGGTTGTTCTGTTTATGTAATAAGTCTATTTTTCATTTAAGTATAAAAAGGGTTTTTACACTTATGTGGTTTTGTTTTCCTTAAGTGTTGAAAGTCTTTTTTCAAATCAAGGATCCCTGTCTTACTGCACTGTTGGTTTTCGTATATACAGTAACCTATATAATTTACGTATACTGTATTCTTCATCCAATAGATCACCATATTGCTTTGGGTGTTAGGTACCAAGAGTGGAGGCAGGACAAGTAAATGAATGAGGAATACAGAGAAGAAATCGAAACTGGTAAATAATGAGATAAATCAAGTAGATTGAAATTAAGAGATGCTATCATTTCAATAACTGTCATCGTCTGTTACAGCGTATTGCCGTGAGAAAGGGAGAAAAAGAAATGAAAACCGTAACATAACACAAGAGATTGACCCTATTGGTTCCCAGTCTTGATACATTACTGAATTCAATTGTGTTGACCTGAATACCAGTCATTATCCATTCAAGCCATGTTTAACTTTACTTTGAAGCGTCCGACATTTTGTATTGTTTGTATGTATATTTTACTTTTACAGGTGCTGCATTGGACCTGGCTCGAGGTGTTGGACCAGACACAGTGCTAATTCTGGACGTTTCTTGTAAATTGAAACGAGATGGAAATTTCTCAAACATGATGAAATTAACAAGACAAATTATTCAAGGTATCTAGTTAACGTATGTTGGATCTGTTTAAATATTGCTGATTCGCACAATGTGTTAAAATATATTGAATATTTGAGGAAGTTTTAATTGGAATAGTTATACACTACTTTTCAGGTATAGGCAAAGAAAGTATTCCGGGATTCTTATAAGAAAGCATCGCCATAGTAACATTTGGATGCGTGACAACTATATGGCAACACCTCACGAACAAACAAGACTACTGGGAGACTTGCTTAGGTATCGGTATATAAAATGGGAGCTTTTAAACTTCTTTTCAGATCATTCTTGTCATATGTATAAAAGCAATACCATGATGTTAACATACTGTTACACAATGCAAAACAGAAATTGTTACGCATATTGATTTAAACATATTTTATTGTTGAAACAGATGGATGATAGAGACAAGTTCTAACAACTTACAAGCTCTTCTCCACGAATACAGCATATGAATTACATTTACATCACGTGACGTACTATGTACACAGAGATAAATTTACAAAAATAATAATATGGTAGATATATTTGTTGTCTAAATCAACTTTATCACATAAAGTTAAGGGGATATACGCATATGCAAAACCAGTAAGCGCGCAGACACCGAAACAACAAAGAACAATACATCAGAAAAAAAAACCTAAAAGTAAAAAATGCAAGATTTCTTATGTCTTATCTAAAAATTATATAGATCTTCAATGATCTAAATCACAGTGAATACAGCCTCAGGCACGGTGTTTAAAGTCTTTTACTCAGTGAATATCGCTTCATACAAAGTGAACATAGCTTTTGACATAGAAAATATATATTTGAACATAGTGATTATAGCTTTAGACACCGTGAATATAGAGTGAGTATTGACTAAGATATAGTTAATATAAATTTTATACACATAGGCTTAAGGTTTTGGGCACAGTGAATGTAGCTTTAGACACAGAGAACATAGAGTTACGATCTGTATTATGATGAAATTTCTCTGAAATCTTAAATCTGACGTCAGAAATGTAAAGTAACATGTGATCAGAAAACACTTTTCTATTTTGTAGAGACACACACGTTACCGTTATAATTCATGTTTCAGACAATAGATTTTCATAAAGAACTTACTTTAAAGGTGATTTTGGTAATACTCCGAGAAACACAGCAGAGCGAAAATATGTTAAAAAATGTTTTGTGCCATATTTTAAACTTTCAAAAACGTGTTCTGCATTTTGTATATTTAATGTAGTTTGTATTGTAAACAACAAACATAAGTTCCGAAAAACATATGAAAAAAACCCAGTCATAAAGTTGATTGTTAAACAATTCATATTATGTGTTCAAATGACTTCTTTATTTTCCATAAACAGATCAAATTGAGGATGTGAGCCCGGATGTTCCTACATATTCATGCCAAGGACAACGCATGTGTGAAGCGCTGCATTACAGGTTAACAGGGAGTATTCACTGTACCACGAGCTTTTACCATGTAACGTAAATTATCTTAGCTATTTATTGCAGTTGAATGATGAAAGTATATATTTAAAATAAGATACATATTGACCTGCTGTTTGTTACAAAAATTAAGACCGAGTTAATATCACAAATCACCGAACTCCACGTGATTATGCTCCAGCCAATGAACATGTAGGGAGAATGTGTGTCATCTAATATTTCTTTTTATTACGTTCTTACTCGTGAAATATCAAAATGTATTAGTGTGATAAAATTATATACGATGTTTTTGCGTCAAGTATAAATATATGATATACAGATTCGTGAAAAATATCGATACTCGTGAAAAATATAATATTGTATTCATGGGGAAAACCATTAATTATTATCTATATACATTTGCTACACACTTTTTGAAATAGTAAGATTCGAACAGTAACTCAATAAGTAAAAGTGATTATAAAAATAATATAAGAAAACATTTACAGAAAATTTACATGCATGTTTTCGGAAAATTTTGTTCGATCTCAAACATAAATCAATAATTGAGCTTCCATTTATACCTTTATACATACATATGTTTATGAAAAATCACATTTAAGAAAAAAAAACATGGTCTTCGCATATCAACACGGGTAATACTGATATCCGATGGAAATATCTCCGACACATTCGATCCTTCAGAATTGTTTCAGGTATGTACGTTTGTAACATATTTTCAAGACTAAGCTAATGCATACAATATGAAATTCTTTTATAATATAAGAAAAAAATAATTATTCAGTGGTAAAGATTTCATTTATCCCAGAACGATAAACAAAATTGATATTTTTGACCTCTGAAATTTTATAAAATTGATAGCATTTTGAAAAAAAACCTCACAATTGTATATAACTGGACAAATAATTATGATAATAAATATATCACATTTTTTTTGCGAAGGAATTTATTGTATTAATTTGTTTTAATGATCGCAAAAGTAGATACATTATACCTTGTGTTTATATATTTTTAACAATATTTCGAATCATTATATTTTCGAGGAATGTATATTTATTCAAGAAAATTCCTTCGTGAGTATAAATCTTTACCGACTATTAGTTCAATCGAAAGTACTTTTAATATCTAAATTACATCGTCACAACCACAAAGTCAGCCAAAGAATGCGAAAATAAAGTATTTCATTGTATATCTGACTTTTTGCATTCCTTAAAAGGTGTTTTTCATTCTGATTAAATCTTATTTTTGTGCAAATCCATCACATTTATTATCTACAAAATTATTTAACATTCTGCAAACACAGAGTCGGAAGGATTCCCAACTGCTCGTGCATCAGATGGCCAGTAATAACCATAAAGTATTTTGTGTGCCGTTTTGCAATCATGGGTCGCCTTCATATGTAAGTCAAACGTTGCTATATCGCTTATTTAACTTCATGCTTTAAACTACTTAAGTTGTTAGGGTGTGTCGAGTACGTTAAACAAGCCGAGGGTCATTACCTTGATTGCTTTACCTGTGACTTGGCTGATCACTTAATCTACCTGTTCGCCTTAATGAATACATCATATGACAATCGAACGTCAAACACAAGGCAGGTCATTGTGGTCAGACTTTAGTCTGTGCTATTTGTTTGATATTTTCGTAGCTTTGTGATATGTGGTCTAAAGGTTACATGTTTGATAAACTTTTAAGTAGCAATTTCTGTTTAGAGTATGGTTGGGTCCACAATCAAAACAGCATTTATTTCACTATCATAACTGCAATTCACGTAGTTTGTTTATAACTTTTATGGACAAAGACACATAATGTATTAAATGAGTTGAAGTGCTTTGTAAATCTATTAATACATAGTAAAACACTTTCCTGATAGATTTGAAATTTGTGTCGAGGTTTAAATGAACATTTTGCCTGTTGTGTTATCTAAGTTTTGCGATACGTAAATGAATGTTTTACATGTATCGGTTTTTAAATGTTATAACCATGATAAGCCAGAAGCTTGAAAGTATTCTTAAAAAATATTTATATCGAATTATTAATATTTCCGTTTGACTACAGTTTGTCGTACTTAAAGTAAAGGTCACTAATGCATTAGCTTACATTACCAAAGAAGAATACCATTTTAGAGATGTATATTAAGAACTGGGGTATTATTCCTCCTATGTGTCGTCCATTCAGCACCCATTCTACATCCAATCCATGTTACCGACACGTTTGATGGTTGATACATCGCCATACTTCCTTGTCAGACTGACAAGACGGCTTTTATATTCACAGATGTTTACGTAGCAGCCCTGAAACATGACAGAGAACTTAATCAAAACATTCTTTAAACCATCTTATTAACATAGAGTCAATTAAGCAATTAACTATTTTAAGTTGGATTAATAGTCAATTTCCAAGCCTACTGGATATGACAAATTCCACGAAGCATGCTAACGTTTCAAGTTCAGTTTGTCCTGTCCATTCATATTGACTATGACTGCCATCTGGAAGCTGTTCAATACCATTTTTATTTAAATATTTAATTAGATAAATTTGTTAACTTTAGCAGTTATTTCAAATAAGTGTATGTATCTTGAATACTTGTTTATTAAATGGAACCACTACCTTCAAAAAAAGCCAAGTGGCAACATACGCATCCAGTACAATCCTTAAATATGGAGATTATTTCATAGCTGATATGAATGTTGTTCTCAATTTGTAGGGTTAATTCATGGCAGTTCCATAGAATTGTAAATATACTAAATTGTAAAAAAACTGTATACTTTTACCACCATCGTCAAAAATAGACCGATCATTTTCCTCTGAATTCAGTGGGAACTATCGCCACCTTGCAAATGAAGCACAGTAGTGAATAGCGACTTTGATAATATTTCTATCACGCTATATTTAACGTGTAACGTCATAGAGGAAGAAAATTACGCTTAACTATAAACGTTCTCTTGTTATGATTTTGCCTGTTAATATTACTTGAAATTAGTTTTGTAGGTTTTTATGAAAATGCAGGTTAACCTGAAAATGCCGTTCACCACTTCCATCAGTAAATGAATTACGACTGTGTGCCATCCTTCTGTTGTTGAACGTTACGATATCTCCAGGCTGAAGGCGAATTTCATTCTGAAAATTGTTAAGAAATAATTGTCTTTAGAGCATTTGAAGAAACATATTTTATGTTAGAAAAGTAACTAAATAACTGATACGGCATCATATTTAACTGACAGAAGAAGCATGTAAAGAACCTGAGGTCAGAACCAAGATCAGTATGAAAATGTCTTATGTAATTTGTTTGGTAATCTAAATCTTAATTTACAAGATGTATATCTTATATCAGTAACATTCAGTGAATTTATAAAAAAAATGGCGACCACTTTCCAAAACCTAACAATCACTTTAACAAGTAATTAAGTAATACTGTATCCGGGAAAATTTCGCCCAAAAAACTATTCGCCCATTTACGATAAAATCGATGTTCGCCCAGTGTCAATTTCGCCCGCCAGGTGTAATTACTATATATATTGCATGTTGCATGCTAAAAGTCGCTGTCATGACAAAATCGACTCATTGGGGAGGTCAAAATAGGCAAAAGTTAAACTGCGGTGAAAATTTTCCTGTATACAGTACTGTTATATTCCTCCTCCTTGCGGTAATAGGTTTACACTCACTTTTGTGTGGAAGTTAGATATTGATCTTGCAAACAACTGGTACGCCCTGTAGTACTCGGTCACGTGATCCTGTTAAGATAAGAATCGTCACCCATATATTTTGTATATCATGAAAAATATTGAAGATAAAAATAATAAACAAATAATCAATAATCTTTTCTCCCTTACCAAACTGAGCGTCATGCTTAATAATAGTACCATGACCAAATCGTGGACAGTTTAGTGTATGTGCGTCAAACTACATAACTAAAAGCCTTCCTTACATGGGGCGAACGCTCATCAAGGGAGACATTAGGTAGAAGAAAAATGTTAAGAAAGAAGAGAAAAGATAAGATCCCAAATATAGTCGCCTCTTACGATCATGCAATGGGGGCTACATTTCTTGCGCCCTACCTGAAGGGACATTAATGCAAGAATAAACATGGTTATTTATTGACTCAAGATAAAAGCATATCAAAAACTATTAAAAAACATAAATGAAGGGTGCCGATTTGGGCTTTCTGGTGGCTATATCCATTTTTTTTCAAATTTTGCATATACATTCATTGGAGTTATGCCGTCATGATATGATATGAAATTAATGTCAGCTTTAATTTGGGGATTTGAGGGGTTAAGTCGGGGTCTAAAATCACAAATGGCAATGGTATTTTCTTCATGCATTGATTCAAACATTTTTATTCATAGTTGCCAATTTATTTGGTCACAAAAGCCACACAACAACTGCAAACTTTGGTCACGCATTTGACAGCCCAGTTATCTGTATATTTGAAAGTTAGATGCATAAAACAAAATGTTTACCTCTGGTATCTCCGATACGCCAACTACGCCAGGGTTCCAGAACACTCCGATTATCTACAGGAAATAAAAGAACGTAGATGCATAAAGATTCACTTCAAAACAGATATAATATACTTGTTTTAAAGAAGACTGTTAAAGGTTACATTTATAATATGACGTCATAAGCAAACTCAAGCGGCAAAATATTGAATATAAATAAATGTATATTTAATAGAATTTATGCTTGATATTACATGGCAAATCGGTCTCAATTGTTGTGTTGTTTCAACTTGTTTTTGGTTTTTTTATTATTTATTAGGAGTTGTTTATAACTGGACAATACCTCTTTCTCATTGTTCAAGTTAATGACTGGTCGTCGTATCAACAAATGAATGGGGTTTTCTCTAGAAACAGAAAATGAAAAATGAAATAATACGAAAACAATTATCAGGTATACCTACATATATCAACAACGAAAGTAACCAATCATTATTGTAAAGGTGTGTTATAAAACAGTATGTGATGGTCTTGGTCCGGACTTTAAGTCCGGAATTCCGCAAATAGTTTTGTTTACAAAGTTCCTATGTCTACTATGTGGAAGCGTCACAGTCACGCTGCTATTGTGTTGGCTAAATGCGGGCCTCCCTAAGGCGTAAGTGTTTATAAAAACTGTATGATTTATTGCATAATGTATCTTTGATGCTAGTTTTTATGTTATATGCATATGTTTATTCTGTACGTTTGGTAAATCCGATGGTTTTGTTGGGCTTGGGTGAGTCCCGCCAAATTTCAATCGGTGTCGTCTGCTTGTTTGCTCGACACAATAACGTAGTCAAAAAGAATATATTTTTATTTTGTACTTCATTACCAGGTACCAACTGTATTAATATAAATAAAAGTTATGATCATATCGTGCAACTAACCATAATTTCGTCTGGTATGTGACTTGTGTTTTGAAGGATCTGGTTAGCACAGGGTCCTGTCTAATTTATTATCCGGTGGTATGGAGCAAATATAATTTTACTCTGTATGTAATTTTGATGGCATACTGTTCATATAAAAGAAGCCTAAACTTATAGATAAAGTGATATGGTTAATTTGTACTAGTAAAATGGCTATTGTTCAGCTCGGAACATTTATGTCAGTTTGAGATAATTACCATTGTTTGACCTAGTTAATTTTCAGTAATTTTATGAGTGTTTTATCTGTTTTTCTTTGAAGTTTTTCACCCTCTCTCGAGGTATGTGAAGTAAACTCCTCTACGAGATGGAAACAATAAAGGGAGTCTTCGTCGACTTTATTCGTCCTTTATTTATTAAACATCACACAGTATGAATGAATTGTTTTCAATTACCAGACATTGCCTTATGAAGAACTTCGTTTCACCTCTGGTCCTTTCTTGTACGAGCTCAAAAGTGTCCTTATTTACTTTGAGCCTGATTAAATATTTGTGTATTGAGATCGTTTTTTTCTGTTTTAATTTAACCCAAATGAAAGTTAACTGTTCAAATACTGTTTGAAAAAAACAATCTTTTATGACCTTTTCCGGCATTTTGCTTTACAATGATTTTCACTAACTTTTCATTTAGTATATTTCAAAAACCCATTGAAAATGTTTGTCTGCTAAAATACAATGATTCTTTTTGAACAAGTTAATAAAGTATTGAAAACAAACAGTTACCAACCATCAAGGCAAATATCTGACTCTAATTCGATAAAAAAAACCCACAACAAGATTAATGTTGGAGACACCATAACATAAACACCAGAGGAAACGGATTGCTTAGCTATTAAGCATTCATGCATTTGCTTCCAAACACATATTTACTAGTTACCAAATTGCATGTTAAATATCGCATAGCACTATTTTGACGTCATCATAGCTATCACGTGGTATCGACGTCAAAGGTGTAATATTGGATATGTCTGTGTACGTTGTCTGCTGCAATGGTAAATGTAACACGAAAAACATATTCTGCTTAAAGCAAACTTATATGTGTGCAGTATTTGTTTAGATTTTGATCTTACCTTGATAAATGATTTCTGGAAAATGTACAAGGAACAGAACAAAGGGTTTTAAACTCGACTGGATTTGTTTGCCTAAATTCTTCACAAACCGCGAACATATCAACGAAGAGGGTTTCTCCCCCAATAAGAGCATCATCAAATCTACAACAAATATAAATAATTCAACTAATAAGTATTATAAAACAATAATCAACAATTAATTTAGAAATATTCAAAAGCACATCCTACACATAATAGCAGTTCATTTAACAAGAACCAAAATTACCTACAACACATATAATTAGTTGATTTGACAAGTACCAAAATAAACAAAGCGCTTATTAATAGTTAAGTTGACTGGTACCAAAGGTAACTGCAGCACATATTAATAGTTTTATTAATAAATAAAAGTATTCTCAAACATTTAACATTCTAGCGGTATGATATGATACCGTAGCGTTTCACCAATCTGTACGCATATGTTACTACACGAGTTATGTCGCGCCAGCATGCAATTTGTATACCGGTAGTACTGGGTATATCATATGCAGCAAATGATTTATGATTGTATTGTATCCTCAGCGGTTTAAAAAAAATGTATGCAAAACCCCCCATAAAATTGTTGAATTAAAGAGATAACAATAACCTAAGATAAAAAAAATAATAATTATGCTATAACATTGTAGCATATGGTATTTTAGCCTAAATAAGTTTCATTTGAAGTACAATACTAAATAAGTTAAACGAACGTCATAATTTCAACATAAGGACCTTTTTTTGAGAGACTTAACAAAAAAAACAGGTGCTTTTGGAACAAATATTTGCATTCATGTGCAAAAAAAGTATCTTTCAAAAGGTTCAAAGTCATTTATATGAGAACCTAGAAATTAGATAACATTTGCATTTGTTTATTTTTGCAATAAGGAAGTCAATACAACGAACGGTAGCTTTAGACAATCATGAATTCTTATAACAGATATTCATGTATGTAGAAAATAAGGATTTATCAATTTCTTATCCAATTCAGTCAAACACTAGAAAATACGGCAGTATTTTTCGTACATCTTCATCAAAAATATAACCATGCTGGAAAAAATTTCAAATACATACTCACAATTTTTACAGAGAATGTTTGATTCTTCAAATCTACGCAATCTATGTTAGACCATTGTTTACTGTTGCGTATTTGTTGGCAAGGAATATAATTTTAGAATTATAGCTCCTCTTGTTATAGTCTGATATTCACAAGACAGCTATATGTTAGCTCAAATCTAGCAGAAATTAAGATTGCATTTGTATTCAACCAACATATTAATCATTAAAACTATAAGGTATGCAGAAAAATCAAAAGGTGAACATTGCGAAACAATATAGCACACTACGGGATTAAATCTTATTTTTTTTATTAATGATAATTATGATATTGTTGTGTTTTTCTTTAGCTGTCCCAGTTTACAAAGCACAGTAAGGTAAAAGATATGGCAGTCATTTGCAAGCACGTTTGGTCGGCAAATGTAGAAATTAACTCGTACTTAAGGCAGTGAAGAAACTGTATTCCAGGCATTGACTCATAGTAGGGCAAATCCATGTGGAACTGTAACTTATTTCTCGTGTATGCCAAATTGGTTGGCTCTTCCATCACAATCACGTCATAAATCTGAAAACAATATGACAAGCAAGATAAACAAACGGAAACAAAATCGAAAGTTATTGTGATTGTTAAAGTAAAGACGTACCACAGTGTCCACGATCGAAGGAAAAACTGAAAGTTAGCAATTGTACAAGATTAGACATATCACAGCGTCAATAAAGGACTCACACAACTAAATCAGCCAATAAGCAAATGTTTCCTACGATTGTAATCCCTTCCTAAAATTTGTTCCGGTTAGATAAAGTGCCTCTGAGTAATTTTAATAGGTAGTTGTAGACATATTTTAAATTAAATGAAATCTACAGATATTGATCTTTTGGAAAATTTATAGTTTTAATAGATTTTATAATATGGTGGCGGATTGATATGGGGTCAAATGTCAGGGGCAGTTCCTGTCTCGCTTTGCCGGTTTGGCTTATACACTTCCGGTTATCAAAAGCAGACGCCTGTAGCGCTCATACATGCCACCACACTCAACAAAAAATGCCTGTTGAAGCCTTTGTCAGGTATGTATCTGTGAATCTAGACAGTTGTCACTAGTAATGAACTTCAAATATTAAGGCTTTTAGCTCAAAAGCGTAGTAATAACATATACTAAATTATTTAGTTGTGCGAGTCCTAAACGGGAACGAAAAAACCGAAAGTGACATCAGATGCGTTCCCTACCCCACATGTTGTACAGGTTGTCCTCTGTCAAATCAAGAAAAGTGTGTCGGTCACAAACGATCGAACAAAAGGTAGACATTAAGATGTGTCTATTAGAACTCTCAGGTCCCGATGTAATTGAAATATAAGGATTGTTTGGCACTAAGGTACATATTACAAACATAAACGATTTTACGCGTAGTTTTAAATATCATGAGTTCATGGTTTGTTTGGTTTGTTTGGTTTGTTTGGGGTTTAACGTCATCGCAACAGCCAGGGTCATATAAGGACGGATGACTAAGGAGACACCGCCTGATACAACACGTGGACAGGAAAAGTCAGGAAAGATTGGAAACGAAAAGGATCCTAAGTGTTACAATGGGGGCAGCAGATCAATTTTAGTCTTTTCCATGTCCCCTTCGTAGGAGATACGGAATAAAACCCTCGATTCTGCCCCACATCAGTCCACATGCAGTGGGATATATCAGCTCTATTCTTGATTTCTTCAATGTCCCCTTGATAAAAGACAAGGAAGAAAGCACCACCGAATCTCCAATTAGTCACCGCTTACACTCATGCAGTGGGATACAGCAGACCTATTCTTTTTTCTCTATCAAAAATAAGGTTTTCATTTTTGAAATACCATTCTGTTTAACAAATGTAAATTGAGAGGATATTTAACCAAAGTAGTGTAATCAACTAGTGTTCACACATTAGTTTCGGTGTTTATTAATTTTCAGTTTGAAACCTGTCTTAGTCAGTCCCTAAGAATTTTCAACATAATTTGAACCTTGATTCCTGGTTAATATGACTTATTTATTCCAGCATCCATACTTATATGTTTTGTTCCAAAATGCTTCCGATAAGACAGGTTAATCTAACCAATATGTCGTGTTCCACAGGGCGTCAGGTTTAAGAAGTTAATCTAACCAATATGTCGTGTTCCACAGGGCGTCAGGTTTAAGAAGTTAATCTGACCAATATGTCGTATAACACCGGGTGCTTGATTAGCAAAATTTCATTGTTCATGTAATGATCTAATTATGGAAATATTCGCAGTGTGTAAAATATTCGCGTTGAGTAGAAATTAGCGCGAATATATCCACTCGCAAATAAAAAGGTCAATTTCAGACTATTGCCAACGCGAACATTTCCACACCGCGATTAAAAGGTCACAACGCGAGCATTTCCACAAGTAAAATTTTGTGAACTTTTACAGCAAAATACCTTTAACTATTCATACCTTTCCATACGTATTGTCAAGCAATGGCGCCATATGTTTTGGAATGAACTAAAAATAATAAAAAAGAAACAATGTTGAAGTTTCATGAAAACAACTTCAGACATAGACACAATATGAGACGGGATGAACAAACCAACGTATCTCCGATGGTTGCTTACAGCAAACCTTATTTTGCTTCTTATTTTTCATAATATCATTCGACTTTAAAGTTCCATGGTTGGCTATTGGTTGACTGAACATGATTTATTTGTGACATCCATGGAAACACAAAATGGATTTAAGATGACTTTAGCATATCGCAATAAAGATGCTGAATTCAAATGATTAAAACATACGGACCACAAATACTGATTGACTGTCTTTTTTAAATCAAATTTTGTAGTACATACAGTATGTATCCCTTTCAACAGTAAGTTGTGTAAGAGGTTCATGACCCTCCACAAATTATTATGGTTACACGCTTACAAAGATTAAAAAAAACTGCCTATATTCTTTAAATGTCTTATTGTTTGCAATAATTCTTTATACATTTTCGTTTGACTACTCCACTTTAGTTCATTTCAAAGTTTTGACATTAAAACCTACTGTCCTTTACTATTGGAAAGTAATAATGGTTTATCAGCTGAAAATGTTATAACAAGAATAACGTTTCATACACTGTAGATAATCTGTATGCTAAGCGCATTGCCTTTACCTCTGTCAAAAGGTTATTTGTGACTGGAGCTCCTTTAACCATTGCTAGGCCATTTTCATTAACATCTGTCAACCACCTGCAAGAAACATGCATTACTGAAGCAAAGGAGGGCGAAGATGTATATATATGTATAGGTTTCCTCACACATGACTCATTGGATATAGGTTTCCTCACACACGGCTCATTGGATATAGGTTTCCTCACACACGACTCATTAGATATAGGTTTCCTCACACATGACTCATTAGATATAGTAAGTAACACCTTGCCCGTGATATCATTTGGTAACATTCTAATTATGACGTTTTGTGAAGTCTTCGTCCATTGTGACGTCATAGTTCATGGCAATTGTTCCCCGATCGGAAACAGGAATAATGTATTCCGAAGAGAAGCATATACAAAATGTAGTTTTCTAGGTATAATATCTTAGCGTTGTGGGAGAAATAGGTCCACACACTCGTGATGGTTGATTATCATGTTTATCTAAATCTCGTTAGATAATTACAAACTGTAAAAGACACTCGGTAAACCTCGTGCCCAATTCAAGTAACCTCCATATACATTATCACTTCAGTTTAACTTAAAGGTAGATACTAATATTTTGTGTTATCTTTGCTCACATTATATCACTTGAATATTTGCAAGAGCTATTTGAAATATTTGATATCAATTTATTAGTATAGATTTGTCTTACACACCTTCTAATTAGGACTATTACGTTAAAGAAAAAATATTGAGGACGACTTGGCGTAATTCTAAAACATATTTAAATAAGATTTTAATAATGTCTTTTGTTTTGAGTTGTAGGTCAACATTTAATTTCAAATACTTGAACCAGATCATCCATTCACTATAGCACCCATAAATTGAATATATAGATAAATAAACAAAATATTTTGATAAATATACAAAATATCATTTTCTATATGTTCATTTAAAAAATTCACAAGATAATTTGATTTACAAAAAGTATAACCATTTTTAAGACATCACATTTTGTGGATTCAAAATCATTTGCCATTTATTATCATGACCTTGCATAATTGTTATCACTCATCTAATTTACCATTGACCAAGGACCGGGGATCAGAATGTTAAGGACTAATACAACTAAATCAAGTGTTTCTTACGTAGATCCCATCTTAAACCTTATAAGTTACTGTGCCACAGAAACTTTTAATTAGGAACAGAGACAGATGTTTAAATTAACGAAATCTTTAGGTATTTAACATTTGAAAAAAGTTTTCTATTGATACATTTCAATACATGTGAGTGGCTTTGCACAGGAGCAAAACGTATTTGGGCATTTGTTTGGTCACCTTTTTCTTGTATACTTCCGGTTGTCAACTTCATGACATTGTGACACTCCTATATGCCATAAAACCAGCATGACAGCCATATAACTCTGTAGTTTCGTTTAATAGCTTAAACAGTATTGAACATTATATAGCCGAAAGGGATAACATATGTTGTGCATAGGTACATGGGGTCAAGTTTTTTTGCATCACCTGGAGTGCATCGCTGCATCAAAAAAACAATAGAAGAAAATCATTTCTTTTGTTTTAAAAAAACCCTGTTTTTTGTGATTGTAGACATTTTGTTGCCTTTCTAAGTTATATATCTATGCACCTGGGTAGTTGTTACTGGTGTTGAACTTCAAATATTAGAGCTATTATCTAACATATTCAGTAATAGCACATAGTAATTGCTTTCTTTGTTTGAGTCTTTTTAACGTTGTATAAAATGTATTGCTGCATCGAAACAACAGTACAATCACAAAAAACAGGTTTTTTTTAAAAACAAAAGAAATGACTTTCTTCTATTGTTTTTTTGATGCAGCGATGCACTACAGGTGATGCAAAAAAACTTGACCCCATGTACCTATGCACAACATATTTTATCCCTTTCGGCTATAAAATGTTCAATACTGTTTAAGCTATTAAACGAAACTACAGAGTTATATGGCTGTCATGACATGTTAACAGGAATTTTACTTGCATACGCACGTTGTTAAAGATGATTATGTACCCTGCTGTTGGTTGTATTGTTCAGTGATATAATGAAGTACTTACTTGTACACGTGCTTCTCATCTGCCTCACAGTCAGCATACGTGACACTTGGTTTGACAGACTAGATAAAAAATGAAAACTTTGTGAGAACACGTGCGTATACGTTACAGTATAACGTTCCAATACAATTGAAAGATTTGGTTTATGAAGCTTGTCAAAAGAGTCCACGAACGCACATGATGTCGGGTGCACTTATCCTAAAAATGATACACAGTTTTCATTCGAACCTCTCGATATCGCCAATTCTGTTTATTCTATCTGATAAACACGTACTGAACTTAAATACCAAATCAGAAACAAAATATCCGAATACAAGGGACTTGATATAGATTTAATACCCCCTCTGTTTGTCACAAACGAAAAAGAAATGAACTGAATACCATCATAAAACTTAGTAAATTAAACTCGGACTATATTAGTCCCAAAACAGTGTCAAGGTACGCGACAATTTTATGTCGGTTGAAGTGAACGGGACAGCAAGTTGAGGAAGCCGGAGAGAATCTAGAAATCGGTTGTTATTTTAGTGATGTGAGAATAATTTAATTAATTAGAACCAGTACCTCCTTGCACAACATCGTCTTCATGGAATCTTTCTTCTGTTGTAAACTGTTTTGTGAGTAACAATATTTCTTCAGGAAGGCTGAGCTAAACTCTCCAGCATGATTGTCATCCCACTGTATCCGAACTCTGCCATTTTCTGCAAAGGTGTATTCAGTTATATAATAGGGCCTAACAGAATCCCGAGAGCCAAGAATGGCTTAGTTGGAGAAACTTCTTTTTGAAATTTAATTTTTGTCATGGTAACAAAAGTTTTATTGTTTTCATTTTTTACGGTTGTAATAGGATGTGAAAGGACTTTTAACACGTGCGAAAACCTTCGTGATATTTGTAGAGAGAAAAAAGGGGAAAAAGAGAAAAAGGGAAAATGTAGAAACGGATAAAAAGACCACTTTTGACAATTTTCAAGGAAGCACTGTTTAAGTCATGATCACTCTCTTATATAAACCCTTTACAAAGGAAAAATTAAATTTACTTTCTCAGACACGTATCCGAAAAATACAAGACTTTTTGTTTGGCTTAACCTTGGTCTAAAAAGGATTTGAATTTATTGTTTTTATTAAATAACACCCACAATTTAAACATCAAACTGTATTTATTTATATGGATTCGAAAAAGAAAATTAAGGTAAATAGGTATGGGCTCGACAATTTATTGTCTTCAAACTACATAAATACACTTACAATGGGAAACCATAATAGGAAAGATACGAGATGTTATTGTCTTTTTAAAGCGTAATATATTTATAAAGTATGGCTTTTGATGTATTGAGTGTTACTTTGATATTTTATGTGATACTATTGTATATTACCTGTTACTGTTACGTCCGTTACTTTGGTATTTTATATTATACTGCTGTATTTTATATGTTACTTTGACGTCTGTTACTTTGGTATTTTGACTTTTCGTTATACCGTTGTACATTACCTGTTACTGTGACGTCCGTAACTTTGTTATTTAACGTTATACTGTGGTATATTACCTGTTACTGTGACGTCCATTACTTTGGTATTTTGACTTTTCGTTATACCGTTGTATATTACCTGTTACTGTGACGTCCGTTACTTTGGTATTTTGACGTTTCGTTATACCGTTGTACATTACCTGTTATTGTGACGTCCGTAACTTTGGTATTTTGACGTTTCATTATACCGTTGTACATTACCTGTTATTGTGACGCCTGTAACTTTGTTATTTTTCGTTATACTACGGTATATTACCTGTCACTGTGACGTCCGTAACTTTGTTATTTTACGTTATACTTTGGTATATTACCTGTTATTGTGACGTCCGTAACTTTGTTATTTTACGTTATACTACGGTATATTACCTGTTACTGTGACGTCCGTTACTTTGTTATATTACGTTATACTGTGGTGTATTACCTGTCACTGTGGCGTCCTTTACTTTAATATTTTATGGTATACTGTTGTATATTGTCTGTTACTGAGATGTTCATAACTTCGTTATTTCACATCATTCCGTTGTATGTTACCTGTTAACGTGACGTCCGTTACGTTGATATTATATGAAGTACTGTTGTATATTACCTGTTACTGTGACGTCCGTTACTTTGATAATTTATGTTATACTGTTGTATATTGTCTGCTACTGAGAAGTCCGTTATGTTGATGTTTTATTTTATACTATTGTATATTACCTGTAAATGTGATTCCCGTTACTTTGGTAATAATGTATTACTGTTGTATATAACGTGTTACTCTGATGTCCGTTACTTTGATATTGTATGTAGATGTGTCGTAAATTACATGTTACTGCGAAGTTCGTTACGATGCTCTTTTATGTTATACTGTTGTANATTTTGACGTTTCGTTATACCGTTGTACATTACCTGTTATTGTGACTTCCGTAACTTTGGTATTTTGACGTTTCGTTATACCGTTGTACATTACCTGTTATTGTGACGTCCGTAACTTTGGTATTTTGACGTTTCATTATACCGTTGTACATTACCTGTTATTGTGACGCCTGTAACTTTGTTATTTTTCGTTATACTACGGTATATTACCTGTCACTGTGACGTCCGTAACTTTGTTATTTTACGTTATACTTTGGTATATTACCTGTTATTGTGACGTCCGTAACTTTGTTATTTTACGTTATACTACGGTATATTACCTGTTACTGTGACGTCCGTTACTTTGTTATATTACGTTATACTGTGGTGTATTACCTGTCACTGTGGCGTCCTTTACTTTAATATTTTATGGTATACTGTTGTATATTGTCTGTTACTGAGATGTTCATAACTTCGTTATTTCACATCATTCCGTTGTATGTTACCTGTTAACGTGACGTCCGTTACGTTGATATTATATGAAGTACTGTTGTATATTACCTGTTACTGTGACGTCCGTTACTTTGATAATTTATGTTATACTGTTGTATATTGTCTGCTACTGAGAAGTCCGTTATGTTGATGTTTTATTTTATACTATTGTATATTACCTGTAAATGTGATTCCCGTTACTTTGGTAATAATGTATTACTGTTGTATATAACGTGTTACTCTGATGTCCGTTACTTTGATATTGTATGTAGATGTGTCGTAAATTACATGTTACTGCGAAGTTCGTTACGATGCTCTTTTATGTTATACTGTTGTATATTACCTATTAAAGTGACTTCCGTGACGTTATTATTTTATGTTATACTGTGGTATATTACCTGTAACTGTGACGTTTGTTACTTTGTTATTTTATGTTATACTGTTGTATATTACCTATTAAAGTGACTTCCGTTACTTTATTATTTTATGTTATACTGTGGTAAATGACCTGTTACTGCGACGTCTGTTACTTTTATATTTTTTGTTATACTGTGGTATATTACCTGTAACTGTGACGTTTGTTACTTTGTTATTTTATGTTTTACTGTTGTATATTACCTGTTACTGTGACGTCCGTCACTTTGATGTCAAGCGGCAGTTTGTCTATATCTATTAACACCTGGCTGATTTCGTCGGAATAACATTCTCGACAGGGACAATGATGTCTCAGCCACACTGCATGGAATCTGGAAGGAAAAATATGATCCATGATTATCTATACAGTTACTTTTATTTAATTCATCATTTCCTGATATAGGAGAAAACTTGTCGGGTCCCCAAACATTAGAACTGTATTTCAAAATATGTTTACTCAAAGACAAAATATGATTCATTTGATGGCAAATATAGGTACGTTCAACCAACTATTCCAGTTATCACAGCAAACATGTTTTACTGTTTGTGTTTCATTTGAAATAATACCAAGCTTATGAGCTACTTACTTTTTAAAATTTAGGTGAACGTTTCAGGTTCTAGTGAATTGGAATAACGAGCTTTATTATAGTCATATCATTATATTGATATGGGTATTTAAATGAAAGAAAATGTACATTTGCTTTATTTTTTATTTTTCATTAAACATCAGTAAATATCTGCAAGTACTTTTTTTGTATCTTTGATTGGAAAGATAAGATGTGCCATGCAATCTTAGTAATCCCAGAATTAACTTCAAGAAGGAACGAAGAAGATTTCTTTTTAATTAACACAGACATCGTTTTCATCAGGTGATAGAATGCATTTTGAATAAAGTTGTTAAGGTAACAACCTTACACATTAACAGGTATGTCCTGTTTAACATATACCACTTAGTATCTAAGTCTAACAAGATATCATTATAAACAAAACGTGTTCGCTTTATACTGTATTCAGTTTTGTAAAAATACACATGTATAATTTGTGTCAGCGTAAGTTATTATGTCTGTGTGTCAATGTATACTATAGTATACACAAGCGTGTACTTGTATCAATGCATACTATTATATATATGTATCATTGTATACTTTTATATATATGTATCATTGTATACTTTTATGTATATGTATCATTGTATACTTTTATGTATATGTATCATTGTATACTTCTATGTATATGTATCATTGTATACTATTATGTATATGTATCATTGTATACTTTTATGTATATGTATCATTGTATACTTTTATGTATGTGTATCATTGTATACTTCTATGTATATGTATCATTGTATACTATTATGCATATGTATCATTGTATACTTTTATGTATATGTATCATTGTATAATTTTATGTATATGTATCATTGTATACTTTTATGTATATGTATCATTGTATACTTTTATGTATATGTATAATTGCATACTTTTATGTATATGTATCATTGTATAATATTACATGTATATGAGTCATTGTATATCAGTATGTATATGTGCCATTGTACGCTATTGTTTATCTTTGTCAATGCATACTATAATGTGTATGTGTCAATGTATACTATTATGCATATGAATCAATGTATAGAAGTATGTACATTGTATATGTGTCATGTATGCTTTTGTTTATTTTTGCCAATGCAAACTATTATGTTTAAAAATATATGATAATGTATTTGTGTTAATGTATATTATTATGTGTTTGTGTTAATGTACACTATTGTGTCTATGTGAGAATGTATACTATTATGTATATGTATCAATACAAACTATGCATATGTGAAAATTTATACTATTATGCATATGTATCCCAGACTGCAGTGATCTCGACCTTGTTCCAAAGAGGCCCCCGAGGTGCAACTGTCAGCTACTTGCTTTTATACGCTTTGTGCGACTACTGAACAAAGTGAGTTATGTTTTCGAAAATAATGAAAGTGTTGGGTTGATTATCCAACATACATTTCTATACTTTGTGCGTGATATAATAAGACTTCTGAGTACAGTATATTATGTTTTCGGTGACATTCAAAGTGTTAAGTTGAGACCGCAGCTGCAGAGATCAAAGTCACCATGGCGGATTTCGTCAATATCGACTATGAAGTTATTAACACGACGGAGATGTGCGATATTGAGGTTGATCAGGATTGACTCAATTTTTTCTAACAGTGAGGAGGTGGAGGAAGTGGAGGTTTAGGGAGAGGAGGTAGTAGATTCGGTAATCAATGTCGCTAGCGCGAGTGCTAATACTAACGAAATGCCTTGTTTTCCCGAGGCCGTGGTCGGTACAGGTATAGATTTTCCGTTGTTTCAAGTTGTTTCAAGCGATAACAGACTTGTTCAAATATGTACCATGCTGTGAGGATAGTGTGCAAATAAGATATGTAGAGATAAAAAAATCACTCCCGATGAGTTGTGTTTACGTTGTTAAATATATATATAAATTATATTCATACAGCGATGTTTTTTTTTTTTTTTTTAAATAACTTAAACGTTTGCATTACACTAAATACGAACTACCTTTATAACGAAATGATTCAGTGGGATTTGTTATAACCGTGTTTTGCTGTATTTTGTATATCTGTCAATGTTTACTATTATACATGTGTATCAATGTATCCTTTTTAAGTACACGTGTTTATGTACATTATTATACATGTGTATCAATGTATCCCATTATGTACACAATTATGTCAATGATACTATTATGCATTTGTGTTAAAGCATCAATTTATCCTAGTATGTACATGTGCCAAAGTATACCTACATGTATATACATGACTGTATGTTTTTATGTGTGTGTGTCATTAAGAAAAAAAACTATATTTTTTTGTGTTGTCTGCTTTCGTCTTTCAAAAATGTATTATAAAATATTCAAATGTGCAATGGTATTTAGAAGCAATATTTAATATCTTATCATTGCTTGTCTAAAATCAGTTTCAAAACATCAATGTAGACACCAAAAGTAATGAAGGTTGTGAAAAGATAACAATAATAGCTGTATATTACTACATTGTGTTACCTGTTCATACCTCGAGATTGTTTATGTTATATACATACCTCGACGATTTGCCATCATTCCAAACAATTTCCACTTTTCGTCCGTCGTCGACAGCCCTGACAGTTTCGGCAACTGTTTCAGATACAATTTTCTACAACAAAAGTCTCATAGACCGTCATGATACATTATTCCATGGAATACTTTTGTGAAATTTTCAAATGCATTCAACTTAGGACATATGACCAGAAAAGATACGTACCCGTGATGAAAACGACTGATAACGGTTGAGACGTTGCCCAAAAACACAGGTTGGTGAGGTGTTCAAGGGAACAGCAGGGCCTTTGGAGTACACAGAGTTCAGTGCATAACAAAAATGGTTCTAACATTTGTTAAAAAAAATGTATATCGGCCAAAAACAATTGTCTCTTTGTGATATATTTAGTACTTAAAGAGAGAATTATTTTAAATGACTGCACAGGTAAATGTAAATGCACTTCAAACAAATATTTGTTTGCTTATTTATTTCAATGACAGTAAGAATTTAAAACTTAGTCTAGGCGCATGTTTACGGTAAGAAACGTCTTTCTTTTATCCTGGACANAAAACAAACATAATCATATTTAAACATAAGTTTAGCAAAGATCACTTACTTTGAAATCCGGACAATGTAACGGTAGAGATAGCCCAAAATATGTTACTTCTGAACGGCAATCAATTTCTTCGATGTTTGAAGCGGCGGGTTTTTTCCCCGAATCACGTAAATTCTCACGCTTTCTCGTAGTTTCTCGCAACATCAAGTGCACGGCACATATTTCATATGCCGAAGAGGCAGTTGCCTTTCCCTCTATTCTAATTCCGTGGTAATAGGTATGCTGGTTACAAGGTAGTAACAGATATTTTTATATATTTGCAACTGTAGTATAGTTATAATTAAGCTTACAGCACAGGGATCCTTAGAAGTGACTAGGGTACGGACCCCGGAACGTTACAGATGTACGGCCAATCTGATTAAAAGCATCTGTTACATTGCTCCGCCTGAACATCGTTCAGGCGTAGTACGAAGTTAACGAAGCCATGTAACATATGATTTTAATCAGATTGATGTACGGCCTTCTTTTAATGTGTTTGTGGGAGCTCGTTGTTGAAAGGGGCCGCATACTAAAATTTAAATGATTTAATAATTTAAATTTAAATGACAGTCTTTATGAGATTCCTGTACAGTGAGTCGCCGTGGAAAGTTTCAACACGTCACTGATGAGCGGTGTTGTATGACACAGAGATCCAGAATACTATTGCTTAACACTCATATTTTTACCTTGAAGTAGATCTCTCTTGTACAGAGAAATAGAGTTCCAAATAACAGTTTATCAACTTCAATCATAATGAACAAAATCTCACCTTTCTGTAGTGAAAATCCAACAGATGAACATCTAGAAATCATGGTCAACAGACGTTTACGGCAAAGACTTTTCAACATTTTGACTCCCGGTCACAATCTGTGTTATCCTCTCTGTCTGCTGTGTAGAAATGATAACATATATCTTGTGTATCATGTACACACTAGACTTTCTCAAGTCCCTATGTTTGAATGTAATGCGACATACTCCAACAGTAGTCTAGGACATACATATAGGTCATTTTTCCCTTCTTAGTCTTTGTATGGCCGCCATTTTGTTTGGGAGGAGAGAAACCGGAAGTGATAGGTTTTGATATGAAAATATGGATTATGGGTCAATTGTAATGATGTGTGATTGTTTGTAATTTAAAGGTCCCTTTATGAAAAAACACACCTGTTCCGGGTGATTGATATCATCACTATTGAAAAGAATTCATTTTGGCGGAAGAAATAACAACAAGGTATAAAATACAACCCAAATTAAGTAAACAATCTTTTGAATGTGGACTGATATGGGACATTGAATACAACTTCAAATCAGTAAATATAACAAAGCGGAAGTGAATATGACTACAAATAATTTTGACATGTACAAGTTAGTACAACCACTATTTATTATAATAAATAAGAGCTATGCATGCAAATATTAAACGATGAATACAACTTCAATGCATTAAATATAACAACAAATACTTGTCAACAGCTACAACCACAATTCAGTTAGAATAACTGGGAGTTATGTACAACTATGAGTGCGATGAATACAGCTTAAGGTTAGGAAATCCAAACACAGATCAGAAGCGGTTGAATACAACTACGAGACGATGAATACAGCTTCAGGTCATTCAATACAAGCACGTTGATAGCAGCAGTCGGGAACAGTTTTCCTTGAATTACTTTGTATAGACGCCCTCTTCAATACGCGGTGAACCGAAAGGGTTAAGTGGTACAATGTAATGAAAAGTAAAATAAAGTTCTATTAATCAAAATATAAAGAATACTTTGCATCGAACATTCTACAGTAATTTTGAGTATTATTTTGTATTTTTCTGATGCCTTTGTTAATTATTATTATTTCTTTCACTTCAGTCGTTGCTATTGGATTGGTCTCATGTAAAAACACCTGACCAATCATTAGGCTGATACCTGTCCTTTGAAGATCACAGAAGAACGACGTCCGACTTTATAGCCAGTATTTTTAACCGTTACGCGACCGCAAGATTCTGTTGATGTACATTAAAGGATCGAACTATTATTCTTGTCTCATCAACAAGGTGGCGCACACCGAGCCTTTAATTGTGCTATGATATATTCTAGGGGTGAAGAGAGCGTAAGTGGGCGTAACCCCTGGATATCGATGATGTGAATGACCGGGTAGAGAGCAAGCCTGATAACCTCTGTAAGGTTCGCGCGGAGGTCGTGAAGAGATCAAGCCGATAGATGACAGTGTTTATGAGAGTTCCGGTACAATGAATAGCAGTTGAAAGTTTTAAACATGTCGGTGTTTTATGACATCCCATAATAAAGATATTTTGTGGAGAGTTCATGAATGCTATTGCTTATATTGCTATATAGTGTACATGAACATTGAAGTAGATATTTCATACATAGAGATATAACGAGTTTAAAATATTTAAATTGACTATTATTATAACAAACAAACTTTCACTTTTCTGAAGAGTAAGTCCAATAGATGAACATCTAGAATCCAAGGTCAACAGACGTTAGGGCAAAGACTTGTTAGCATATCGCCTCCCGGTCACAATCAGTGTTGTCAATCAACTATCTGTAGCTTGTGTATATATACTACTATGGCGATGAACTCTGACGTCCTATTTCTGTAAACACTTTAGTCTGTGTATCATGCACAGTGTAGTGTGTACTCGTATATTAGACTTGTTCTAGTCCCTATGGATTGGTTGTATTTGTTATGTCCAAAATATAATACGACAGACAACGACTAATGACCGAATCTATCACCAATTAACCTATATAGAGGTTGTTTCCCTGGTTTACTATTATCGATACATTGATAACTCATCAAAATGCAACAAAGAGGCAGCGAAAATAACAATAAAGAATTATAGACTGTTCCGAGTAGTACCTATAGCCCTGGTCGATACCACCATGCACGAGGCGGTGAATACAACCACAACGTTTTAAAACAACCAAAATACAGTAAAGAAAATTTGTGCGAGTACATAAATACAAAAACACAGCGATTGATATTACAACAAAGAGTTGAAAGCAACTACAAGTTAGAAATATAACGAAAATACATTAAAATCAATATAGGAGCGAGGCAGTGGCTAATGTTTGAGGTCAGACAACTTAATCACAGGTTAGAAGCAGTTGCACACAATCACGAGACAATACAACTTCAAGTCAGTTGATACAAAGACAAGTGATTAAACGTAGCAGTCTTGAATACTTTTCCTTCAATTACTTTGCAAAGGCATTAGCTTGGATTTTCGTTGACTTCTGAAGCGGTTAATTGATTCAATGAAATAACTCCAAAAAAATGATCACAGCATCACCAGATAATTTTTCATATAAATTAACGATATTTAATATTAATTTCTTTTTATGATTATGTTATCCGAATGATATTCTATAGCTTGCGTACGAATCTATGACAATACAATTGTAGGAGTGTCAATCAAATGTCTGGTAAAGTATATACCGTGAAACCTGTCTAAAGAGACCAACTTTATTACTATATTACCTGTCTTAAGATACCACCTCTATAACTAGATCGACTGTTTGAAGAGACCACCTCTATTGCTATATCACCTGTCTTAAAAGACAAACTATATTACTAGACAACCTGTATTAAGAGACCCCACAATTACAAGATCACCTATCTTAAGGGACCACCTCTATTACTAAGCAACCTGTTGTAAGAGACCATCTCTATTTCTAGAACACCTGTTTTAAGAGACCACTTTTGAAACTTACCTTTGCAATTTTCAAGCAAACTAATCCTGTAATAAGAGACCACCTTCAATAAGAGGCCACCTTCTATAAGACACCACCTTCAATAAGAGACAACTTTATGGACTTTTAAAAGGTTGTCTCTGAATATTGGTTTGAATGTACGTTTACCAAAAGCTAGAACGACCAGGTAAACAAAGAAAACTATTTTTTCGCCAAAGTAACAAATTACCTATATCACGTTTCACGTCGACTCATTGTTGTCAATTTTGCTTTTATACAGTAGTATCTGGTTCACATTCCATAATCCTAAAGTCTGTAGCTAACCCCGTCATTCAGCTGATATTTTGAAATAGCCATTCACAGATATATGTCAATGTCTTCGTTAGTGCGTATAGGTTATAATATAATGTATCACAATATTGCTGCCTTTGTGTTTAAGAGCAGCAAATACTCACTGACCCGCTACACGAATTTTGAATCTGAAAATCTATTTTGTTTGCTATCTGTTTTACCTTTTATATCAATATACAAATAAATCTGACTATGTTAGTTTTCCTAGACTGTACATGTGTGCCAGATGTAGACAAGTGATAAAATATCACTTGTGTTTAATCGTAATTTAAAAAATAAATAAATCTAAAATTCAAAGTAAGTTACTTTTGATTTATCGCCAGGATACATAAATGACAGTTAGCTATGTTATGTAATGGCCATCTGTGATAGCAGATATCATTACCATCCATCGGAGCCGGAAAGTTCGGAGTCACTGTTAAAAGAAACACAATTTTTCCTGGTATACATCCTTACCTTTTATTATTAGACTCTGCGACGCGTGACACACGGGAAAATACTATATTACGATACTGCTTGACAAATCATGAACAGAAATCTGTAACAGTATATCATTCAAATCATTTAAACCCCTGTTATCTATTTGAAAATTCATTGGACAAAATATTATGCAAACCTGATAGATAGATATCACCAATACTAGAATTTGTGCTACTTATCCTTACAAGCTTGGGAGTACTTACCTGGTGTTGATATTAAAGTTGTTACTCACTTCAAGATCATTTTTAATCCATCATCATCTGATCAACTGCCCAGTCCAATGTTATTGCTGTTGTTCACAAAGCTTGTCGTTTCCAGCTATTTTTAGTGAAGTCAGTGTCACGTAATGTCTGTTAAATGAGGTCACTGTGATATACATTTGTGTATAGATTTATTTTCTATATATTGCATATCCTTCAATACTCTAATAACAGCTCTATAAACAATTTTCTATTTACACACAAAATGTAAATTTACATTCACATGATTTTTTTTAATTTTTTTTAATCAAACGATGGTACAATAAACGCTATTATCGCTTGTACTTACCCATAAACTTATCTTTTTTCTTTGCTTTTGTGTCCAGCTATTCCCTCTGGCCATTTTCACAGATATTAAATGTGCCTCGTCGTCTTTGTCATAGGTTACATCGGATATTACAGCAGCGGTTTCTATCTGTCTCATCTTCTTCCAACACAACTGTACGCATCATGAGCTTTATGAGTGCACTACTTTCATTTAATAGACAATTTCCATAAGCTCTCTGCAATACACAATGTCTGTGATGATGTAATTTTAATGATATCATGTTGTGAATATTGTACATCTAACTGTCGACCACTTGTTAGAAGAGTCTTTGACTCAAAGTGTTATCGACCTGAAATAAAGTCTTTTATTATTATTATTATAATTCTTGGACACAACTTCATTCGAACATTACACCAGAACCGTCACAGGTGTACATATCTGACACTTCACATAGATAAGTTCTCAGATTCTGTTCTAGTGTTACATATATAATTATGCATCTGCAGAATTGATGGTATTTTCGCAGGTTGATCAATATCTATCGGAGGCTGTTCAGAAGTAGGCAACATGTTCAGGGGGGACCCAGGAATTAATTTTTGGTGTTGCCCAAAATTTTCAACTCAGAAAGAGACTCAAAAAAACCGAATAAATTATAATTGTCATGTCGGTTGTACATGTATACTACTTTCTGGCACCAAAGATTATGACAATCATAATTTCCCTGCTGAGCAGAGCGAGTCGATTTTTTTTCTGAAGATGTAATACTAAACTTGTTCAAGCACTGCTAAGCGTAGAAAGCTAGAATTTATCGGACATTATTTCCATTGTCAAACAGATCGAATAAGGCATAGAATAGTTTTCTGAGTTTGCGGTATTATTCCAGGTTATATTTTATAATATAGAGTATTTATATTTTATGATGGCCGAGTGGAGCGAGTGTTAACAAATTCTCCGAAACAATGGTAGAAATGTAGGTTTTTGGTTAAAATGTTGATGTTTGTGTCATGCCTTTCATGTGCATGTAGTTTAGGCGAGTATTTTGGCAATTAAATATTGATTTATTTTGTCATAAATATGAATTATGATTTGATTGTTTGTCTTTTATTGTTAATTTGTATGCATGCATATGTACAAGGGCAACACCTGTTAAAAAGGATATATATATACATGCCAGGCTTTTATGTTAACATTGGTTATTATTCACCTGATAACGTGATGCTAAGGCGGATGCTTTATTGTCTTTGAAATTTTTGAAATTTACATTTTTTAACAGGTATAATAAATAATTCCTGGTGATCATGTGTACATGAAACCACAGGTGAAAATACAGGTTTATCTATCATGAAATGGACTCTACCTTTGAAGTAATAATTAACATATATACCTAATTCCAACAGATGGTTTTATCCTTTAAAGAAGAAAAAGAAGCTATATTGTTGTTTCATAGATTAAAAGAAAGCTTTCGATTTTGTTAACAGACAGAATTTGTGGTTTAAACTAATTAAGGAAGGAGTAGAAGGTAAACTGTTAAATATGATACGTTTTTTATAAAACGATGTAAAATGTTGTGTTAAATTCAACAATTCAATGTCTAATTTCTTCGAATGCAGGAATGGTTTGTTCCAAGGCGAAATATTGTCACCGATTTTATTTTCTCCTTGTTTTCTCTTTAATAATTCAATAATCAATTAAACATTCATGTCTAAATCTTGGATTTTATGTCTTCTAGATTCCATGCAGTGTGGCCGAGACATCATTGTCTCTGTCGAGAATGTTATTCCGACGAAATCAGCGAGATGTTAATAGACATAGATAAACTGCTACTTGACATCAAAGTGACGGACGTTACTTTAACAGGTACAGTAATATACAATAGTATAACATAATATACCAAAGTAACGGACGTCACAGTAATAAGTAATATACAACAGTATTACATAAAATTCCAAAGTACATACGTCACAATAACAGGTAATATACCACAGTATTACATAAAATACAAAAGTTACGGATTTCACTGTGACAGGTGATATACAACAATATTGCATAACATACCAAAGTAACGGACGTCACAGTAACAGGTAATATACAAAAAGAATACCGTAATATACCAAAGTAACGAATGTCATAGTAACAGATGATTTACAACAGTATTACATAATATACCTAAGTAAAACGTTTTTCTTAAAAATAAAATAAAATGACGTTGATAACCATTATTGCTGAAAAAATAACATACACATCATATACATTTCTGAAATTTATTTGATTATGGCATATTTTGTGGCCACGGCTGTAGGTGAAATATTTTATGTTTAGGAGCCACACCAGTTTCATAAATTTAAACACCACTTGTGGAGCCACACCACTCCATGCAAGCATCAATTGTTCAAAGTCACACAATCTGTGAACATATATACACAAGTCATTGTTTCATTTTCACCAAATTCCGAATATTGTGAAATATAATTG